TTGAGGCTTGGGAACCCACCCCCACCCCTATTTTCGCTTATAAATTGTCCGACTGGACTCTGGATCGGGCAAAAATAAATTGCTCACGGTATGACTGGTGTCTTATTGCGGCATAACGACTACTGTGGCTGAATCCTTGGTGGCACTGTTCAACTTCCGACTTCAGATGGGCAAATTCACATGCGTCCTTTCTCGCAAAAAATCGTCCGTGTATCATACTCGCTGGCAGGTGTACAGTGGCAAAATGTGTAAGACATGTTCTCAAGAGTAAATTCGTAGCTGACATGATCTCTTGACATTGCACTGTAGGAAGGATTTCAGCAGATCAAGGTGGTTCAGAGGGAGTCCTAAAGACTCCGAGTCAAAGATTGATTCACAAAATATACCTCAACTACATATTGGTCTGAGAAGACTGAGATCTGCAGGGAATCACTCAAAATCATGAGAGTTGCAGTCCATTCCCACTTAGTGAATGGCTGATGAAGCCAAAGGGCAGCGGAATGATGCACTTCACAGGCAAATCCCAAGGTAGTTGGGTGAGATAATATTTTATCCGTTGGAGATAAAATTTCATTCCCTTCAAATCCGGCAACCCACCCACCCCAACGGGGGTAGCTTCATGCCCCCTTGAACCACACACTCAAATTCACGCCGTCCGAAGGCGGGGAGATTATTTGGCTCCAGTGCCCATTCTTTCGCTCTCCGTGTATTCACCCGGGAGATGTTCGCTTAGTGACAGCCGTCGATCATCCAGTGTTCCGTGAAAATGGGATCAAGATCGTAGTCGTGTTTTCGACGAAGAAAGCTATACCAGGCTTTACTGGACAAAACCTCAGTGGAAGTGGGTGGTCACGAGTTGACACGCGTCGGCACGCGTGGTCACGCGTGGACTTGCACTTCCACGCGTTTTCACTGCACTTTCCACGCGTGCTCAACGCGTCGAGGAAAATTGGATAAGTAGAAGTCCTTAGTCCTGAGGTATTTACACACACTGGCCACTCACTGGCATGAGTTCCCCGTGAGTGGGTTATGCAGAGGTCTTACTGGTTTCCACTCATGCTCCACTTATCTCCACTCGTGTCCCACTCCATTCGTGCCCAACTTGTCTGCGACCAAGCCTGAAACCAATTTTCTCCGGATTTCCCCCTGAACCAGCAGTATTGCCGACCCTCCCTCCTATTTGGCATATGAAGAAAGTCTGACGAAGCTTGAGGCCGTGGTGTGAATCCCAGTCTAATTTCTGCATCTAATATTCAATGGTCTTCTTTCATAGGTTCAGGCTTATTACATTGCCCCTCCCCAGACATTACACATGCTGCAGCAGAATGGTCAGTAATGAAAATGATTTGAAGTTCTTTATCTCATGTTGTCCATTGTCCCGACGGTGCCTGTTCAATATGGGCATTCGTGGATGCGGGCCAAGGTTCAAGCTCGAAAAGGCAAAGATTTTCGCAGCAGATGAAATGAGCTTTATTTTTTGCGTACTTATCATGTATCGTCCCGAAAATCTGTTGAAATTTTTACAGTTCATTCATGTCCAAACCTGTTCAGAACTTGAACCGAACCCTTTGTAAATTGGACCGATGTCCGGTCTGGGGTTCCGAAAATCTGAGCGAACCAGAGGTCGGGTTCAGGGGTCGGATTTTTCGAGGAGGAGGAAACTGTACAGTTATAGACGGCCTAAATTGATGCGAAATTTTCTCGGCCCAATTTGGTCAGTATTAAAGTACTACAACCCTCATCCGTCCGAGACTGATGGACCACGCGTGGGCCGGTGATCCAAGACATTTGAAAAAATGGTGGCAGCATAACAGCCCCCGCAAAACCACGCAAGCCCACGCGACGCTCCATCCTTCCCCACGCAGGTCCACTCGTAGAAAGTGAGTGGAAACGCGCCCCACGCGTGAAAGTGCGTGGCCACTCACTTCAACTGGGGTTTTGTCCAATAACGCCCGTGATAGAAAGCGGCGAGGGATCTCCCATCTATGTGAGATTTGAAAGTTTTCCCCAGCAGCGCGCCCATTGGCTTTTACAACTAGGCTGGGCGGTAAAGCTTTCCGCCCCGATCCCAAGGAGCTTTGCAAATCCGACTGTCTGTGGATCATACGCTGCGACTTGGACGGTAAGTTATCGTCGTGATGATCTTATTACTTCAACAGAAGCTGCAATCCTGTAAGGGACTTCTCTACACTGTCATATACGATATATGCGCGCGAGCTCGATATATGCGGCGCGCCCATAGCAAGCGTACGCGCGCCAACAGCATCCTCTGGCCGGAGGGAGTGGGGGCGGGGAAAGGAGAGGGCACGATTGGGAGAATGACGATGTATGTGCGGGGAAGGGTGCGGGGAAGATATGGAAGATATGGTGGGAGGGGGGATGAGGAGAGGGACGGGGTGGGTACATACGCGCAGATACCAAGTATATGCCGAGCTGGGATAAGAAAGAGGAAGGGAAAGGGAGGGCAGGGAAGTGAAAGACGAGGAAGGGCAAGCGTGTGTGGGAGGAGGGAGGAGGAGGGTGGATATATGCATATATACACCGTCCTTCGACATCGGCGGGGGTCTGGGGAAGGGATGCGAAGCGGGGCGAACGGAAGGGAAGAGGAGAGAACAATACAAAAAGGAGGACAGAAAGCAGAGACGAGGAGACAGCAAAAACGATAGACGGAAGGCAAGAAAGCGACAGCGCGAAGGAAGGAAAGAAGGAAGGAAGGAAGGAAGAAAACAAAAAGACGAGGAGGACGGAGAGGGAGACAGACGACTCACCAGCAGGGTGCGCGATCCCGGGGAAGACATGCATGCTCGTCGGGAGCGGCGGTGCACCCGCCCCGGGCGCGGGCGAGTCGCCGAAGCCCAGCGTCGTCTCGGCCCCTCCGCTTCCTCCTCCTCCAATTCGTCCCCGTCCCCGTCCCAGCCCTGCTCCCTGATCCCCGTCACGGTCCCCAGCGAGACGCAGCACGACGCGCAGCCGCGCGCCATTATTCCCCGCGGGCGCGCGGCGGCCCGCGAGCTTGCGCACGGGATCGCGTTCTTGTATATCGTCGGCGGCGCGACGTCCGCCTCCTCGTCCGTGCTGCTGCTCCTACTCGTGCTTCCGCTTGCACTCGATTCCGATTTCGTCGACGCCGCGGAAGAGGAGGACGCAGCGGAGAACGCGGGCGGCGCGAAGGCGAGGACCCACTCCTCGAGAAGGACGAAGCGCGGGGACGGCTCGACGCGCGTGCGGCTCGGGGCGTGCACGAGCGCCGTCCCGCCCCCGGGCGGCGGCACCGCGAGCAGGATTTGGATCGCGAGCGGCCGGGGCGCGGGCGCGGCGGACAGCACGCGGTAGGCGTCCAGCTCGCCCGTCGGCGTCGTCGCGGACGCGGCCAGCGGCGTCTCCAGGTTAAACTGCCGTCCCAAAGTCAATAAATGCTTGTAATTGTGATAAGTGCGGACTGACCCATTTATCGGTCTTGCCCGAAGGCGGGCCCTGCTCGGAGGCGCGGGCTGCATGGAGGACATGGAAGAGCTTGGTGTAGATGTGGAACGCAATCTGGTCCGCCTTGGCGCTGTCCCCCGCCGCCATTCGAGCTGCTACTACTGCTTTCCGCGAGTTCTTCGTTCTTGGTCCCTCTTGCGCACAATAGGTGTTCTCTGCACCCCGGAGGTGGATGCAGAGAGTGGTGGTAGGTTGTGTAAAGCGGTGTGTTAGGGCGAGGCAGAGCAGGCTGCCTCCATGGTACTTCTGTGCGGCCCTGGCGTTTGTTGCCTACCGGGTGAGTCCGACCGCTGGGGTTGACGGCACGTGTTGATGGGGCCTAGCCCGCACCGCCACCATCGCCGGCTCGCCACGGCCGACGTTGCTCCAAAGCGTCATTTCTGTCGCAGTTCGTTTCATCTTACTGTACTTCAGACCCGGATATTCTAAGGCAGGTCTCACTGCCAATTTTCACCACCACATCTACTTGAACTCCAACCAGACTAGACTCACTGTGTTCCGGCCCCTCGGCCTCGGAGTCCGAGACTACTGCCGTACTCAGGGTAGTCACAGATTTGCGACTAACTCGCTCCCTCACCCATGTCAATCGTTAGCCGACCCTCGCTAACTTCTGCCTACCTACGTCCAACCCTGAATACTTACGGCGCAGTCCCATGTCGAGAAATTTCAGCCTACATATGTAAATTCACCAATAACGCCTCCGAGCTCCCACCGATTTACGCTGGTGCGTCCACTCCCCTGCTAAATTCCGTGTCTTGATTTTTACAAGACTCCTTGATTTGATTTTTTTAGAAGACTAGCTGCAGCCAAGTCTAAGACACCCAACCCACCCGACTCTCTTAGTATTCTAATCTCTCCGACCTGATTCTCCCCTTTTAAATTCCTCCCACTGGCAAATTTCTCCCGTCCACTCTACAATGAACCTTCTCCCACCTCGAATACATGAGGGCTAATAAAGATGCCCCTTCTTTCTTGGCAACCAAAACCACATAAAAAGGAGGATGCGATATGATGATAATAGGCCCGGGCTCGATTCGAACGAGCTCTCCTGCAGAAACTACTCCTCATTGCGCACAGGTGCGGACCACCCGCCACCGGGCCTTCTCCTTTTACCTCGCTAACTTCGTCTAGTAGACATCATTTTGTACCATCTCTGCAGCATTGCGGACGAGAAAAGAAAAGAATTCGAAACCGACATCCTGCATGGCCCGGGCTCGAGTCGAACGAGCAGCTCCTGTTGGCGATTTCTCTTGCCAGTCTAGTTTGTACAGGCGCGGACCATCCGCTACCGGGTCGTTCTCTCCAACCTATTCACTTCGTGAACTTGGAATCTTCCTGTCCCGAATTCATCGCCAGCGCCATGTTGAACTCGGCCGTCCAGACTCATATATTATTCTATGGCAGGTGCAGACTATACGCAGCCACCGTACATAGTTCTACCCTCCGTTGGCTCAAATAAATGCCGATGCCTGACATTATCTAACCTTGGAACAAAAATCCTGTGAATACTCTTTTCATGGCCCAGGCTCGATTCGAACGAGCGACTCCTACAGAAGCTCAAATGTGGCGGTCATTATATACAGGTGCGGACCATCCGCTACCGGGCCTTCTCCTCTTCCTGACTAACCTTGTGAAGTTAGAATCTTCCTGGTGTCGCTACATTATATTGAAATCGCTCGGTACCGGTCTGGATTCATATATTATTATCCCATGCAGGTGCGGACTATCCACAGGGATTTACTCAATAAACGCCGATGCCTGACATTATCTGACCTTGGAACAAAAGTACTCAGAACAAATTTCATGGCCCGGGCTCGAATCGAACGAGCGCCTCCTGCAGAAACTTTATTTCATACTGCCATATTCTGGGCAGGTGCAGACCATCCGCCACCGGGCCTTGCTCTCATACATCCGAACCTCATCTAGTACACATCCTTTACATACTTACCCAACTTCTCCGGGGTAAGGCACATTTCCCCACCATGGGCAAGAATCTTCCTCAACGCGTCCTATGGCCCAGGCTCGAGTCGAACGAGCAACCCCTGCCAAATCAGAAGAGTCGACGATGAATTGTGCGCAGGTGCGGACCATCCGCTACCGGGCCTTCTGCTTTTACCCGCTAACCTCCTCTAGTTGACATTAATATCTTTTTGTAAGATGTCTGCCCGGCAATCCAGCCGCGGAGCAAAATTCTTCAGCAAGACTGCTAATGGCCCGGGCTCGATTTCGACCGAGCGACTCCTGCGGAAACTCTGCATGGAAACTGCAATCCTATTTTGTGCACGGGGGGACCATTCGCCACCGGGCCTTTCTCCCTGCCTTGCTCGCCTTGTGAAGTCGGAATCTATCTTCCTCACGCACTCTGTTACATATGTACGGCGTCTCCTGGCGCCGCGTTAGTTAGTTAGTCTGTTAGCCAGTGTTACATATATATCCGGTCCCGCGCTATTGTCGTCCCGCGTATTTAGATGCATGTATGTCTATACCTTCACGAATTGGCGACCTTTTCTTTTTTATAGGCGGGGTGACGACGCCATTTGGGATAGGTTTTGAGGTGCGTATGCCAATATTCGTGGAGCTCCGACTTATTGTTAGCCGGCGGAATTTCTCAGGCTAACGAAGTTATTCTGGATGATCATGAGTCACTGGCGGAGTCGAGGTCTGATCATTTTGAACCAAGACATTTTGGTTCGATCAGCACATCGTAAGGTACATCCCATTTATCCATCCACGCCAACACTATAAAACCAACACAGTCCGTGTATCCCGCCAAGGATTCGAAGTGACAAAGTATACTATACTTCCTCTCTGATCTCTCTAGAACGATTCGCAACTCCTCCGTCGGCGTATTTGTCTCCCCACCAGTCGCATCCGCACCATTCCAGCCGAGCGCAGATTGTCGTTGGTGGGATGCTCGACCTGTTCCAGGAGCTTCTCGAGTTCTGGATGGTTGCGGTACAACCACATTGCATGCAGGATCCCAGTTCCGTCGAGAGGAAGATCCCTGTCATTTTCCTTGCCTCTGTTCCCGAGGGAATATGGCAGAGACAGGAGCAGGAGCGCGATTGAAGCTGCAAGACCGACAGAAATCTGTATTTTGCAGTGTCAGGTATGAACCACGTATGATATGTGAACCGCACAGCAATGATGGTCAACTAATCATAGTTAGCTGGTACTTCAGGACAAAGATATAATGTACGTACGTCCGCTCGGACTTCCACATAAACCACGTCGGCTGTGGCGTTCGATTTGAGTAGGAAGGGTACGTAAGGCCGAAGTGGAGGGGCACTGTCTGCTGGGGAACTGTGACCTACTGAAAAGGTCCATTGAGCTTTGCCGTCCCGATCAGGTATGGCCTCAAACCCACGTGTCCAAAACATCGAGGCGACAAGTGTCGATAAAATGTTTTCGACATCGTGGAGCGTTACATTGGAGCGTAAAGGTTTAGATGAATTGTCACCCGGCAGATCCAACTGCTCGATTAAGTATCTTGTGGTTCATAAATGGATCAGATCGTGGGAATATAGTGCGAGTAGCGTACTCACTTGTCCGCAGTTGTAACGTATCTAGATGGCAATTGGATCGGGTTCAGGGCCAGGTCGGATGGAGGGATTCTCGTATACCAATACCCCCACTGAATGCAGTGAATCAGACGCGGTTGCACTTGCGAGTAAATCAACCACGAACTGTGTCAATGAGAAAATTACCGCTCGTTGTCAAATTCGCTGCGGTTTTGTTTTCGCCCGTGAAAAAAGGTGAGGACCCAGCATACGGTAACCAGGTAGAAGTGGTTTTTGTGAGCGCAGGCTCCACCGCTAGTAGGTTACGAGAGTGCGAGTCGATGAATGCTGTTTGGGGCACCAGTGACTGAGAACAGCGAAAGGCCTGGACGGAAGAAACTGTCATATATGGGGTGCCATTATTGGTAGTCATAGGCGGATTCAGATCAAGTAATGGTCCACGACGGTTGTTAGAATCGATGATCGGGACGGTGGCATAGAGCGTGATGCTGGCCGTCAGTCCTAAAGCTGCAAAGGTAGAAATCATTCCTGGCTCTGGGATGATATCAGAAGCGAATCTCCCTGGGATTACTCGTAATCCAACTTACGAGTGGGGAATATCGTGAAAAAAGCGTCGTCGAAGGTCTCCATGGCAGACCACACATCTCCTATCTGTTCGTCCCCGCTGTAGTCCATTTCTGGATTCACGTAGCCGCAAGTAATATTGAACCCTGTCGCCTTGACACTGACGTTGCCTGACACTATTGCGGCGCTGGGATCCAGGATATCATACAAGGTGCCTCCATACAACCCCTGCGTCGTTGTGGTCCCAGCGACGAAAGAAAGATAGGCTAGCGATCCTGGTAGAGATTCTTCTAGGATGTCGCTATTTAAAGTGTTAGCCAATTGGTTGCTTGAGCACTTGTTTACTTGCATGTCGAAATCCACACTGTTGCTCCAGTTATAGGCAGGGAGACTTTGTGTTGGGACGAGAACCGAGCGAGAAGAATTGAAGGTTTGCAATGAAACTAACGAGGGAGTGGTGATATGCAGGACCAGAATGTTTCCGAGATACAAGAGTGTGGAGAGGACTCCAATGACCGAGGCAGGGACCGATTTCTGGTGCCATACGTGTAGGATGGCCGACCCGATTCCCGCCCATGCGGCACTGTTATCGTGGGTAGCCGTCAATGTTTGGTCCATCTTTAGACTGCGCCGAATGGACAGTGTCTGCGTCACAAGGACGAGGACTGCTGAATATATCTGGATCGTAGATAATAATGAAAGCTTACTCTGCACGGGGAAGGGAAATACGCACTGTGCCGAATGTCGTCAAGATCGCGGTGATCAGGGAAGACACAAGCTTTTGGTTCTCGAGCGTAGAAATGAGGTGATGCTCCAATCCTTTGGCCCACACGCAGACAAGAGCCAGGTGAATTGCGATGAGAGTAGAATGCAGACTCAGCGACAGAATGCGGAGCCCCTCAGTTGATTTAAACCATGGCTTCGCGGGTGCTGAACGATGTTGAGCAGAAGGATAGTCGAGAGAATTTTCTGCATACCTGCGCTGGCCGGGGGTCCTCCCGAATCTGTCTCGAAGTTTCTCAGCGCCTCAGCATCATCGTCGCGCGTAGAGGTCACATTTGAGTCTCCATGATCCTTGTCCAGAGCACGAAGCTCGATTGCGGGGACAGGACGAAACTTAAAGCGGTGCATTCGAGGTAGCAAGCTGGAGGGAAAGTAAGGAAAGCCAGGCTCTGGGCGGCAAAGTCGTCTTATGCATCTTCGAGCTGTGCTGGTGTGGGCGCATACGTTGATCCTGGCCCCACAGAATCGGATGGTCGCTGTCTGACGGTGTCATGCCATGACCAGGTCGATACGCACAACGTCTCGACCCGCCAGGCAAGGAATGGATGCTAAAAGAAGCGGCCGCTCAGGGCGGGACATGGATATTCACTAACAGTTAATGGCCCATTCGCTGCACAGCTCATACTTGAGATCGAAGCTGCTGGTGAGAAATTGGCATGAGGAAGAGCAACGGGTAATGTGAAGGAGGTGATCCGTCGTTGTCAGTTGAGTCAGTGATGAACAAAATAAACGGTATCGCCTCGGCTCACCACAAGCCAGCGGCGTTTGCTGGTTGCGTGAGACAAAAAGGATTATATATACCTACCCTTGGGACGGGGGAAAGCGCCCGATATCAGGAGCTGAGTGTTCAGAGAATGACATGCCATTGTTAAACGTATCGGGGCATAGCACCAGAACCGAAGAAAAATTGGCATAAATGTCGCCGAAGGAGAGGCAGTGTTGATTATGGGAGACAGATTTGACGCCGGGAGACGGCACGGCCGAGGCCAGCAAACGCTCCGCGAGCAGGACGAAGCACGGACTGGTTTCGCCGAGCCTTGGACCTAGATCGAGAGCGGACTTGGCGCGGATGGGGCGGACAGCGCGCGGGAGGCGTCCAGCTCACCCGTCGGCGTCGTCCCAGACGCAGCCAGCGGCGTCTCCAAGTTGAACTGAGTCAACTGACATCCCAAAGTGAATAAATGCTTCTCTGATAACTGAAGGAATGAAGGAAGGAGGGAGGTACGCCGAGGGCGGGCCCTGCTCGGAGGCGCGGGCGGCATGGAGGACGTGGAAGAGCTTGGTGTAGATGTGGAACGCAATCTGGTCCGCCTCGGCGCTGTCCCCCGCCGCCATTCCAGCTGCTACTGCTAGTCTCCGCGAGTTCTTCTCGTTCGTCTCGGTCCTTCTTGCGCGCAGTAGATGTTCTGCACCCCGGAGGTGGATGCAGAGGGCGGTGGTACGTTGTGTAAAGCGGTGTGTTAGGGCGAGGCAGAGCAGGCTGCCTCCTTGGTACTTCTGTGCGGCCCTCAGGCTGGCGTTGTTGCTTGCGTTGTTGCCTAGTCCGACTGCTAGGCTTGGCGGCACGTGTTGATGACGGGTCTCGGCCCGCACCGCCACCAGGGCCGACTCGCCACGGCTAACGCTCCACAACCCATGACGTCGTAGTTCTCTTTCATCTTCTGAGGCAGGTCCTCACCATCACATTCCACTTGACCTCCAACCGGACTCACTGCTTCTGGGGAAGTAAAGAGTACCAT